AGTAGTGATGATAATTACTACCAAATACTGCCTGCCTTACAGGGCTAAAAAAATGTGTGCCACCTGCTCCCAATACAGAGGATGCCTCTCAGGGGATCCTGCCAGGCCCTGAGGGTAACTGAAAGCAGCCCAGAGGCAGAAGATCACAATCACAAGGTTAGCCTCCCCCTGCTGGCTAACCCCCCTTCCACTGGCACTCCCCTCCCCAAGCAGGGAAGAAGTAAGCTCTGGTCAGACCACGGAGAGGGCAACACCAAAGAGATGGCAGGTGGGGCCACTACCAAAGGACCAGGGAAAGGCCCAGCCTCACTGCAGGATTCAGTTGTATCTGTGCAACTCAGAGGGACAGGGGATAGGCCCGATGCCAGGCACAGAACCCCAACAGCAGAGAGGGCTCCCACCACTGACGCCTGCCCCAACCCTAGAGGGAGTCCTAAAACTCCTGAGTGCCCGCGCAGCAAGCTGGGCCCCCTACTCAGTGGAAGGCTGTGTGCCCCTGTGGATGTGACTGTGAGGGACAGGAGACAGAGTTGCTGTAATCCTCCAACTTCACAGCACCCCTCTAAGAGGCTATGCCAAGTCTCAAACAGAAAATAAATAGCAATTCAACATCACAGAAGATAACCTCTATGAGCGGTTTCCTCATCTGTAAAACAGATAGCCTTTATTTCATATGATTTTAGTAGGAATTAAATGAGACCACTTTTATAAAGTGCCTAACACTACTCTGTAGATACTCAATAAATGGTAATTATGATTAAAACACAAACACACCCAACAGAAGAGATGTCACAGGGCAGGCTAGGCCTCATGCCAAAGTTGTGGATAAACAATAAGGGAAACGGGTTCAGGGGGAGAAGTCAGAGCTGCTGCCGTGGACTGGAGTGGGCTGGGAAGACCGCCCATAGGGGTGGAGTCTGAACAGGCCCTAGAAGCTGCCTCATCAGCAGGGCACTGGGCTGGGCATTCCCACGTTTGTCCTCTATACCCGTCTTAGAAGGCACATACAGTATCTTCGCCTTACAAGTGAGGCAAGTCAGGTACAGAGAAATGAGGCACCTGGCCAAGGTCACTGGTACCAAGGGACAGGGACAGGGCCCAGGATTTCTGACCCTGTCTTTGCTTTCCCAGAGCTGCAGGAGCAGGGGTGGGAGCTCAGCTGAACGAAGTCCAGCAGCATGACCAGTCGAGGCCCTCCAAGTGTCCTGACACTTCTGGAGACACATATTCAATACCTGAAGGCTTCCTCCCAGCGCCCAGCTGGCCCTCCCCTCCCACTGCCCTGCCGTCAGGCAGCTGTTTTCCCAAAGAGAAAAAGATCACCCCTTTCTTTTTAGAGAGTGCCATCTGGGCTTCTTGAGACAGTTTCAAGGTGACCTTTAAAGTTGTATCTCTCTCCTAAGAAGTGGGAGAGGGGAGTTCTCGTCTTATTTTTACAGGAAACCGGTTGTTGGGGCTGATATCCAGGAGTGTGAAGTGGGCAATAGTGACCCCTACCTCCTCTATGCACAACTTGTTTAAGGAGGAAATGGCAGGATACACCTTGCAAAGACCAAAACCAAAAAAAATGTTATAACATGTGAAGAGACAAAGGAAGGCTTTTTTTTTTTTTTTTTTTTTTTGTCTCTGGTCCAGAGACAAGATGAATACCTGCCTTATGGGCTCTCGGGCCTCTGCCAGGAGTTCCAGGTCAGGGATATGGGCAAACAAACGCAGGGGGTGCCAGTGGTGAGTTGTGTTACAGTGAGGCTTTCCCTTGGAAAAAGGCTAGACTGAGAGTCCGGTGAACCGGGGACAAAGTGGAATTCACACAGGGTCCAGATCACAAGGTGGGGAGGGGGCCAGCAGCAGACACAGCCTAAGGCTTCTTGGGGGTCATTCTCACAAGACTCCCAATTGTCTAAACTCCCCCCTGCCACACCACCAGCCCCTCCCTACCAAGGAAAAGTCAAGAATCCCTGACTGTTGGAAGGAGCAAAAAGGCCCAGAGACGGGCCAGATGTCACCCCCTGAGCCAGTTAGAAAAGAACCCAGAGGCATTACTCTAGAACTTCAGCGCTGGCCGATCCCACCCTCCCACAACTATCTCCAACGGGGTCTACTTGAGGCTCTGCTCAATGATCAGGGCAGGAAGGAGAACTGCACACAGCACTTTCTAATCTTAAAGGAGGGGTACCTTGCAAGGGAAGCAGCTGCCAGAGATGACAGAATGAGGGCTCCAACACAGCTCCTACCCACACTGTGGTGCTGGGAGAACAGGCAAGACCCCAGAATGAACTCCTAGGTGCTTGGGGATCTGGGCGTGCAGAGGGAGTGTGGCCTCAGCCCCCACCCCCGTCCCCTAAGTCAGTAGATGCTATCTCCCCTCCCCCCAGGACCAGCCCGGGAGGCAGCTGAAGTGAAAAGAAGAACAGTGGGTAGGACACACCCAAAACCCTGAAACCTTAAGGAAGGACACCCAGTGGCAGCCTAGGGTTGAGAGATTTGTAATCCTCCAACTTCACAGGAAGACGGCACGGCACGTGGGTGGCTGAGGTAGGGATGCACTTGCCTTCGGTGGTTAAAATACCAACAGGGGCAGCTGCCACTCACTGAGTGCTTCCTGTAGGTACCCAGTTGACTGTACATGCATGAATTTATGTCACTGTCACATCAGCAGCACTATAACTAGGTACTATTACTTCCCCCATTTTTATATATGAGGAAACTGAAGCTCAGACAGGCTAAGTGGCAGAGTGGTGGAGACTTTATCTAACCGGAACTCTACCCTGCAAAGGGAAGGGGAAAAAAGGGGCGCTCACTTTTGCCACCTGAACAGGGACCCTTGAGATCCTTTGGTCATTAATTCTCTCGACTCTCTTCCCCAGAATGGCCAGGTGCTAGGGCCCCTCTGTTTTCAGAACGCCCTTCCAAGCCAGAGACACAGACTTTTGGAACTGCAAATGCCCTCGGAGATCATATCCAGCCTCCTCGTTTTACAATGGGAAAACTGAGGCCCAAGGCGGAATGACGTGCCAGGGTTACCCGAGTCAGTGGAATGGCAGAAATGTCGGTCCTGGAAGGGGCCAAAGATCAGCTGACAGATGGGGAGGCATGACTGGCCCAAGGTCACAGAGGGAGGTGGGATGAGAAGCCAAGTCCTAACTTTCTAGACTGATGCCCTTGCCATGGCATCATCTCTGTTCTCCAGCTGCTCAGGGTCCCTGGCACAGGTTCCGGTGGGGACAAAGCAGGCCAAGCCTGACCCCATTAAAAACAGATATCAGGCCTGCAGGGACAAACTCCTAACTGCCCTGAGTAGGATCTCTGTGGTCATACTGTCGTCCCAATAGAAGGCACTGAGACTGGCAGTGTGTGTACCAGCTCCCGGCGCCCTAACACAATGCCAGATGTCGTTGGGAGGTGAGGGAGATGGAGAGAGAAGGGCAATTTATAAACAGTGATTGTGATCAGGTCTCCTCCTGATCTTACACAGACAAATGACACACCATGGTCACCGGTTTCTTACAAAAAATGCAGACACTGGTTTCATGACTCAATTGATATGGTCACATTTAGAGATTCTTGCCAGTTTCACGGCTGGGCAAGACCTGCAGAAAAAGGCCCCAGCTTGTTCAAGGTCATGTTGTTGTCAGAATCAGTACACATAGCTCCTCTTGCCTAGTCCTTGACTTTTACCAGGAAGCTGGCTGCCATCAGGGCATAGGTGCTGGTGGCCCAGCTCCATATACAGGCCCTGCTACCGTCACAGCACCAAAGCTACACGCCAGCAACCAGATCTGTCAAAACAGAGTGTCCTCCTGCAGCATGTCCCAGAGCCTGCCTCACACAAGCCTGGCATCACCACTCAGCTCCTACACGCCCTTGGAAAAGCTGCAAGGCTTCCTACCAAGAGTCACCAACTCCCCAAACCCAAATCTGCAGCATCCCAGATCCTCATGCCTTCCACAGCTAGCTGAGGCTAAAAACTCAAAGGCAGCTTCCAAAGCCCCCCGGACACACACTTCCAGGGACTTCTGGGCTATGTAGGCTCCGGTGAATTCCATCAATCACCCAGCAGAACAGAGTGTTCAGGCCTAGGAGGGAGGGAGCCCAGGGAGGGGAGGGAACAACTTTTCTAGTTCCTTCTCCCAAAAAGAACATTTCAAAGTCTCTTCAGACCAGAGCATCCCAAGCCAATCCACTTGTCCCTCTCCCACTTGGTTGAGTGGGTGGCCAGCATGACTGGCCAGCCCATATGGCACCTTGAGACACAGCCGGGTGCCAACCTGGAGGTGAGCAGGGGCCAGACCAGGCTTCAACCTCCTCCACTCCCCTTCCACCTCCAAAACAGACTTCAGAAATTTCCAGGGCCCCAGTCCCATAAACTGTATAAGGGATGGCATTCCTGGGCCGGAAACTGACTCAGGGGCTCCCAGCCAGCCTGGGCAGGCAGAGCTGACAGATAACATTCTGGGAAAAAGGGAAGGTGATACTATGGGGATCCCTCATGTTCCGCCACACTTCTAGGTCTCCAGCACACGGGTCCCCTGCTATACTTAAACTCCTCAGACAGGCCAAGTAGATATACACTCCATCCTGGAACGCCCTCCCATGAAGCATGTAATTGCACTGGTTGTTGTTGACAGAGCAGGCTGTGCCACTTGCTGGAAGACACTCGTCTGGCTCACACACAGCTAGGTGCCTGGCTCCCCTCGGGGTCTGGCCCAGCCAGAGGAGACCTGCAGGCTTGGAGCCCTTGCTCAAAGTACCCAGTACCAGAAGCATCCCATGCTCTAACCCTGCTTTCTCCCATGCACAAAGCTGGCTCTGATCTTGGGAAGGCTCAGACCACAGAGTTCAAGTTTGAGAAGAACAAAGATGGCTGGAGTGGTCCAGACCCTTATTGGATGGCTGGAGTGGTCCAGACCCTTATTCCCGGGCAGCCTCAAGTGGTAAGGATGGGACAAGAGGCTCACCAATTTGGTGTTATCAGAAGTGTCAGAGCAAACTGAACTTACCTATCTTCATGAGGCAGGCCAGCAGGATCCAGAGCGAGATCTCAAAGGGTGTGCGCACATGTGTGTAGTCGATGCCCAGGACTGGAAAGGCCTTTCGAGTCTTCATGCTGTGTTCAGTGACGGAATGATTAACAGGCCGGCTCTCGGGGGGAATCTCTGGTGGGGCGGTGGTGACATCCCCAATAGAGCGTTCCCGTGGTGGCTCTGAGCCTCGGATGGTGCTGGCAGTAGGACTGGGCTGGAGGCCATGGCTCCTGAGAACCGGTAGCAACCCCACCAAGGCTACCACCATGAGCAATGAAGGGAAGATTCGTGGGGGAGAGCGGCCACAGACGCCCGACCACAGAGGCATCATGCTGATCCCTTGGCTCAGCAGGCCTTGACTGTCAGCAAAGTGAGAGTAAGACCTGGGACATAGGTAGCAAGGGGTCAGCAGGTAGGAGACAGTCTGGGGCAGTTCCTAGGAAAAGTTCATGTTTTAGAGAGGTAATTGTGTGGAAGCAGATCTCTGGGAATGGAGGGAGGCTGGGTTTGCAATGGAGAACTCCAAACTGGGGAAAGGGGACAAGGACCCAGAAAGGACCACAGGAAGAGACTAAAAGGTCTGGAACTCCAGGCCTGGAAAAAGGGGTGGGGGAAGAGACTGCACCCTAGAGACAGAGGAAGGGACAGGATAGGCTGGACCCCAGGCAAGGAAAAGGAGGAGGGAAGGCTGGGACCCTTGGCTGAGGAAAGTGACTGAGGAGCTGGGACTCAGCTAAGGGAAGGGGCAGGGAGCCCGAGCTAAAGGAAGGGGAACGAAAGGGGTGGGAGCCAATCCAGGAAAAGAAGAGAGGGGGCTGGGAGCCCAGCCTGCGAGGAAGGAGTGAAGCCGGAAAGCGGCCCGGAGCTTCCCCACCCAGAGAAGGGCCGGGGTGCAGGCGCGCTGGGCTGAAATTCCGGGGAAATGGAGGGAGGCGGAAGGCGGAGGCAGGCGGCCTGGCAGGAGGGCACCTCGGCGCGGGCTGGGGGCGGCTCTTGGTGGGCCGGCAGCAACACACCCCTCCTTGCGGCCCCGGCGCAGCGCGGCGCTCCGCCCCGGCCCAGCTTCAGGTCCGCCGCGTCCAGTTCCGATGACAGCTCCAGCCCCGGCCCCAGCCCCGGCGGCGGTGCACTGATGCCTCGCTAAGCCCGGGGCTGCAATTTATAGGCACCAGCGAGCAGCCAGCGCAGCAGGCTAGAGAGACCTGTCAGCGGCCGCTCGTCGCAGCGACCCCTGTCGCCAAGGGAAGGAAGTACGCGTAAGAAGAGGAAGAGTCAGACATGGCAAAAAAGAGACTGAGAAAGTCTAACTAACAGGGGTGAAATGCTTTACCATTTGCAAAATGCTTTCACATGACATCTGCAGTCTCATGAAGAGTTCCTAACAGACTTGTGAAGGATATATTATTACCTTATGTATTTAGTTATTATATAACCTTGAGCAAGTTACTTAACTTCTCGGTTCCCTAGCTTTCTCATCTGTAGAGTGGAAATAGTAGCAATACCTATTTTGGAGGGATGCCATGATGACTAAATGAGATAATCTACATGAAGTATTTAGAATACAGCCCAGCATATAGAACCATTATTATGATTCCAGCTTTGCAGATCAGAAAACTTAGTTAGTATATAGTTACATTCATTTGCTAGGGCTGCTGTAACAAAGTACCACAAACTGTGTGGCTTAAAGAACAGAAATTTGGGGTGCCTGAGTGGCTCAGTCGGTTAAGGGTCTGACTCTTGATTTTGGCTTAGGTCATGATCTCATAGTTTGTGAGATTGAGCCCCAAATTGGGCTCTGAGCTGAGTGTGGAGCCTACTTGGGATTTTTCTCTCTGCTCCCCACCCCCTCAAAATAAAATAAATAAAACATTCTTAAAAAATAAAGAGGGACGCCTGAGTGACTCAGTCAGTTAAGCATCCTTACTTCGGCTCAGGTCATGATCTCCTGGTTCATGGGTTCGAGCCCCACTTCGGGCTCTCTGCTGTCAGCACAGAGCCCGTTTGGGATTCTCTGTCCCCCTCTCTCTCTGCTCTTCCCCAGCTCTCTCTCTCTCAAGAATAAATAACATTGTTTAAAAAAAATAAAGAAAGAACAGAAATTTGTCTCATACTCTGGAGACTAGAGGTCTAAAATCAAGGTGTCAGCTGAGTTGTTTTTCTCTGGGGCTGTGAGGGAGAATCAGTTCCTTGCCCCTTTCCTAGCTTGTTTGTTGACAGTCTTTGGTGTTCGTTGATTGTGGCACCACAAATCCAGTCTTCACATGGTGATCTCCTTGGGTCTCTGTCTTTGGGTCTAAATTTCCTTTTTTATTTTTTTATTTATTTTGAGAGAAAGGCAGAGAGAGAGGGAAACAAAATCCCAAGCAGGCTCTGCTCTGTCAGTGTAGAGCCTGATGCGGGGCTTGAATCCACGAACCACGAGATCATGACCTGAGCAGAAATCAAGAGTCAGCTGCTCAACCGACTGAGCCACCTAAGGGGAATCAGCCCCCAAATTTCCCCTTTTTACAAGGCCCACCAGTCAGATGGATGGGAGCCCACCTTAATGACTTCATCTTAACTTGATCATCTTCAATAATCCTATTTCCAAATACATTCACAGGTACTGAGGGTTAGAATTTCAACATCTTTTGTGAGGGTACAATTCAACCCACAGCAGTAGTGGAACTGAGATTTGAATGTATGGCGTCCATTGGAACTGGTAAGATTCAAGAGGTCATGGCTGTACACAGGAATCGTTGGAAAGCTTAGAGCAGCACCTAGCAACACCACATATATTTTATCATTATCTTTCTTTGTGTGTCCTGAGGGCCTCAGATGTAGACTTTTGGTGTTAAGACTACATGAAGTTACACATTCAGTCACAAAGAATCATTGGTAGTCTAGAAGGAAGGCCTTCACATCTGCGAAATTGGTTCCATCATGAGACCACCCCACCTATATACTGTGTTATGAATTTAAGACTTTCAGATGAATCATATCACTGTGTATTATGCATGTTAAAAGCATGATCTTATTAGAGCTAAATATTAAATATACTGTAATATTCATAACCCTGTTTTAGCAAGTCCTCAGTTTTTAACCATTCAAGGCCCATACTTCTCTTGACTCAGGGAGTCACATTTGGGCAGACCCTTCCCCCTGCAGATCTAGGGCAGTCTCAGGATGCTTGGACCCTGGGTGGCATCTCCCCCTGTCTAGGCCATGTCTGCTCCTCTGTCCCCTCATTGAATCTTTTCACTAAAAGTGATGGGAATTTTACAGAATTGCTGTAGCTACGACATCAACAGATATGTGGCAAATAATGTGTGGTATTAGGAAAGAATATGCTGGGTCACTTAATAGTTGTACATCATGACCAGGTCACATTTTGTTTCTGTCACTCAGTTTGTTCATGTGTATAAGAGGTGGGTGGGGTGAGGGGGCACCCTGGCTCGCTCATTCAGTAGAACATGTGACTCTAGATCTCAGGGTCATGAGTTCAAGCCCCACATTGGACGTAGAGTTCACATTTTTAAAAAGTGGTGGGGGGTGCCTGGATGGCTCTATAAGTTAAGCATCTGACTCATGGTTTTGGCTCAGGTCATAATCTCACAGTTGTGAGATTGAGCCCCTCATCAGGCTCTGAGCTGGGCATAGAGCAATTAAGATTCTCTCGCTCCCTCTCCCTCTGCCCTTCCTCTATGCACATGCTCTCTCTCTCTCTCTCTCAAAAAAAAAAAGAGGTGGGTACAACCATAATACAGACATGCCTCAGAGATGTTGCAAGTTCATTTCCAGACCACTGCAATAAAGTGAATATTACAGTAAAGCAAGTCAGATAGATTTTTTTGTTTCCCAGTACATACCAAAGTTATATTTATAGTATAGTGCAGTCTAGTAAGTGTGCAATAGCATTATATCTAAAAAAAAAAAAAAACATTGTGCCTACCTTTTTTTTTTTTTTAAAGTAAGTTAGTTCTACACCTAATGTGGGGCTTGAACTCACAACCTGACATCAAAAGTCACATGTTCTACTGACTGAGCCAGCCAGGCCCCCCTGTGCATAACTTTATTAAAAAATACTTTATGGTTTTTTTGGCTTTCACCTTGCAGGAGGTGAAGGTGCAACTATCTTTGGTCATCTCGAGTCCGGATTAATCCGACACGAGGTGCCTCCGCCATGCAACCTCAGTTCAACCCCAACAAGATCAAAGTCATATACCTGAGGTGCACCATTGGGGAAGTTGTCTGCCCTGGACCTGTCGGCCCCCTAGGTCTATCTCCAGAAATGGTTGGTGATGACATTGCCAAGGCAACCAGTGATCGGAAGGGTGTGAGGATTACAGTGAAACTGACCATTCAGAACAGACAGGCCCAGATTGAAGAGCTACCTTCTGCCTCGGCCCTAATTATCAAAGCCCTCAGGGAACCACCAAGAGACAGAAAGAAGCAGAAAAACATTAAACACAGTGGAAATATCACTTTTGATGAGATTGTCAACACTGGCCGTCATATGCAGCACAGATCTTTAGCCAGAGAACTCTCTGGAACCATTAAAGAGATCCTGGGACTGCCCAATCTGTGGGCTGCAATGTTGATGGCTGCCACCCTGATGACGTCAATAGTGGTGCAGTGGAATGCCCAGCTCGTTAAGAACTACGAACGAAAATAGTTCAATAAAGGATTATTTGGGACTTGTGGCTGGCTCAGTCAGTAGAACAATATGACTCTTGATCTCAGGGTCATGAGTTTGAGCCCCACGTGGGGTGTAGAGATTACTTAAAAAAAAAAAAGTAAGTTAAATAACATTTTTTTTAAAAAGGAGTATTTGAAAACCCAAAAAAGGAAACTTTATAGCTAAAAAATGCTAACCATCATCAGAGTTTTCAGCAAGTCATAATCTTTTTGCTGGTAGAGGGTCTGACCTTGATGTTAATGGCTGCTGACTGATGTTAGTAGGTGCTGAAGGCTGGGGTGGCTGGGGCAATTTCTTAAAATAAGACAACAATGAAGTTTGCTGCATCAGTTGACTCTTCCCTTCACAAATGATTTCTCTGCTATGCTGTTTGATAGCATGTTACTCACAGTAGAACTTCTTTCAAAGTTGGACACAATCCTCTCAAACCCTGCCATTGTTTTATCAGCTCAGTTTATGAAATGTTCCAAAGCCTTTGTTGTCATTTCAACAATCTTCACAGCATCTTCACCAGAAGGAGATTCCATTTCAAGAAACTACTTTTTTACTCATCTATAAGAAAACAATCTTTCATCCATTCAAGCTTTATCATGAGATCGCAGCCATTCAGTCCCATCTCAAGCCTCCACTTCTCATTCTAGTTCTCTTGCTGTTTCCACCCCATCTGCAGTTACTTCCTCCAGTGAAGTCTTGAACCTCACAAGTCATCCATGAGGGTGGGAATCAACTTTCTCCAAACTCCTGTTTTAATGTTGATATTTGGACCCCTTCCCATGAATCACAAATGTTCTTAATGGCATCTAGCATGGTGAATCCTTTCCAGAAGGTTTTCAATTTACTTTGCCCAGACCCATCAGTGGAATCACTATCTAAAGCAGCTGTAGCCATGTGAAATGTATTTTTTAAGTGTCTTTCTGTTTTTTAATTTTTTTAATGTTTATTTATTTTTGAGAGAGAGAAAGAGAGAGAGAGAGAGCATGAGCAGGGGAGGGGCAGAGAGAGGGGGAGACATAAAATCTGAAGCAGGCTCCAGGCTCTGGGCCATCAGCACAGAGCCCACTGCAGGGCTCCAACTCACGTGCTGTGAGATCATGACCTGAGCCGAAGTTGGACGCTTAACCAACTGAGCCACCCAGGTGCCCTCAAATGTCTTTCTTAAATAATAAGACTCAAAAGTCAAAATGGCTCCCGGATTCATGGGCTGTGAAATGGACATTGTATCAGCAGACATGAAAACAACATTCATCTCAATGTACATCTCCATCAGAGCTCATGAGTGACCAGGTGCATTGTCAATGAGCCATAATGTTTTGAAACGAATCCTTTTTTCTGAGCAGCAGGTCTCAGTAGTGGACTTAAAGCATTCAGTAAACCATGTTGTAAACAGATGTGCTGACATCCAGGCTTTGTTGTTCCACTGATTGACCACGGGCAGAGTAGATTTAGTATAATTCTTA